CTCTGGAGTCAGCACCAACTGCAAGGGGAGAGTTATTTCTGTTAAAACCTTCTTGGGTGAGATCTTTGTCCCTGCTCTGATCCCTTTATGCCAGGTAAAAGGGCCAGAGCAGCGTAAAGGAGCTTGGTTCTGCCTGGGGAAGGATTCTCCCCAGGTTGGAGCTCCAGAAGACAACCCAGGCTGCCTTCTGAGCACCCCTTCACACTCCTCGATGTAAGGATGTGCTGGGGGTGGGAGGGGCGTGTCGGAGGTGAGATTGCAGCATGCAGTGCTGTAGAGATTTCAGGCAGCACTGTGGCCCATAGGAGAGCCGGAGGAAGCTGCTATATCTTAGATAGGCCCCAGGTCTGTCTAAGTTGCATTGGGGACCTCTCCAGACCCAGGATACCCCAGGATCGGGAAGGTGCACACCTAAGCAACTAGGTTGCAAGTTGTGAATTTCACCTCTTCAGTTTCTTGTGTTGTAACCAGTGCTTACAAAGGCTCTAGAATGAAACCTTGACCCTTGCGTGGTGGAGGATTTTTTGTTGTTGCTGAACCAGGTGACTGTGTCCAGTAGTTTACAGTCCCATGATTGGCCTTTTTGCCAAACCTAGGAGGAACGGCCATTGGGTTGCAGCCCACATTGTACCTTTGAGACCTTGGATGTGTCCCGGGCTGAAGTACTCTGTCGTCACCTCTGTTTTTTTATTTAGTTGTCTCATGTTCATCATGTCCTCTCTGTTTTCGAACCACTCCTTCACCTCCAGCACTCTGATACCTAGCAGGAGAAAAACCCCATGGCACAACCACGTGGCCCCTTGAAAATCCTAGACATCAGCCATTCCGTGGTGATGGTAACACGGGAGGTAGGGGAGAGAAAATCAGGCGACTTGTGCTGAAGGAGAATGCTGGGGAAAGGAGGTTGTTTGTTCAGTTAGGGGCTTACACCCTGCTTCCTGGACCAACTGCGTATGGACATGACGTTGAAATAAAGAAAGGTCTTTAGTTAAGCATAACACACACTGTCCCCTTCATTTTCATAGAGATTTAGCTGCGTGACTCCCCGTCACATCAGTGGAAGACAGGGGGATCAGTTAGCACTATCCCACCGTTTCTCTACTGGAGAAAACTATAGACAACTGCTCACAATTCAGGACTTGATCCTGAGAGGTGCTGAGCACTCTAGCCCCGATCCTGCAAAGCATTTAAGCAAGTGCTTAATGTCAAGCAGGGGAGTGGAAAGGATCATTAACCGGCTTTAAACAAAGTACATGCTTAAGTGCTTTGTTGGATCAGGCCAAACTGCTCTGTGCCTGGATGGATCAAGCCATCAAACAGCACAGTGACTGCACTGCTTTCTGGGAACCTTACAGCTCAGTGGCCTGCCATCCGGCTTGTGACCCATGATGCTTCCCAAACCCGACAAAGCCCTTGAGAGTAGCCCTGAATCAGACCCAGAGGTACGAAAGTGATCAGTGATACCAACCAGCATCGCAGTTACGTCTTAGGATAGATATATAGACTCCAGTAAGAGTCCCCAGCAGTGCTGGAAGCCTAAGGGTTTGTAGGGGAGCGAACAGGGCAATGTGAAGAAGGGGTTGAGGGAGCAGAAGAGGAAAAGCAAGAAGTGTGAAAGGACGGGGAGAAAGGATAGGAGATACATTGGCACCTCTCTATCCTATTCTTCCCCCCACTCCCTAGACTCTGTTTGTCAGAGGGTGGAGATGGACGGCAGGAGAGAGATCACTTGATCATTACCTGTTAGGTTCACTCCCTCTGGGGTACCTGACATTGGCCACTGTCAGTGGACAGGATACTGGGCTAGATGGATCTTTGGTCTGACCTGGTACGGGCGTTCTTACGTTCTTATGCACCCCACCCATTTGTGTATTGTCTCAATGGACTCGCGCTGATCATTCATCTCCCCTTACATTCTGGGTCCTCATAGACGGTGAGGCGTTGGACCAGCCCGTTGCTATTCAGGTACGGGGCCCATTTCTCCAGCTTTGCGTTCTTGTACTGGATCACCTTCTTCCCTTGGGGACAGCGGGTCTCAAATTCTGCAGAGGGCAAGGAGAAGGATTTAGCCGCAAGAACAGAGTTGCTTGTGCTTAGCAGCTGCTGCCAACACTAAAAGGAATTCACATGGGAGAAATAAAGGACTCCAGAGGAACTATTTGTTCCTTTGTCACATTCAGCTGCCTGAGAATGTATTAACATCCTTACCGTGCAGCGGGAACATTGTTCCTCATACTCTCCGTGGCTGCAGGAAGGTGATGCACTTTCGGGGGGGGGGGTCAATCTAGTGGGGTGCTTAGGCCCCTCTGCTGACTTCAGTGAATGTTGAGAGCTCATAGGAGCTCACAGGACTGGGCCTGATCCAGCTGTCTCTGGGAGCTGGATCGGGTCTTTAATTTTCATAATCACGACATACTGCAATGGAGTGTATGGATTGGTATTGTCCTTTAACATCTGTGTATCTTCTGCTAGTGATGATTAAATTAAAGTAGAAAAGAAAGACACAGTCCTGGGGGTGTGGATTCCAGAGGGGGTTAGCAATGGGATGAGGAACCTTTCACTTCTCTCTGACTGGTTAGACTATGGACAGTACCTTCTGAATTACCGCCTGAATTTCCCATTTACAAATAATTTATCTAGAGGCTGCTCTTGACTAAAGTTCTTACCAAATATAAAAGGTTTTCCTCTTATAGCATCTTCTGTCCAAGAATTGCAAAGTACATTAAAGAATCAAGCTTCACAACACGCCTGTGAAGTAGGCTATTAATTCTGTTTTACAGATAAGGAAACTGAGGCACGGAAAAGTTAAGGGACTTGCCTGAAGTCACACAGTGAGTCAGTGGTAAAACTAGGACTAGAACCTAGATCCCCTTGCTCCCAAACCTGGGCTTTAACCACTAGACACATATAATGATTAATGACACTTTGTACTGCTACAGCACATACGTGATAATGCATCAACTGCCACGTAACATGGGTAATGCCAGGAAAGATATCCTGGCAGGCAGAATTCACCCAGGTAGCAGGCAAAGGAAGAAACCAGGTCCTATGTCCACAGTGGGGGCAGAGGTTCCCAATTTAGGATGAGATAATAGGTTCTGGGAGAATCCATGGGCACAAAACACAGCTGTGTAATTAAATAATAATGGATATCCTAATTATTGTGTATCCTGATTTATTGCTATTTCATTGCTTGACTTTGTCCAGAATGTTACAATGAAGGTTCATTGCAATACACAAAATTGTATCTGTTGCCATCAGAAGAATATGCAACATGGTAAAGGAAGAACAAATACCTTTCCGAGATATTTGAATCGGGTCCACCCAGGATGCTGGCATGTCAAAACCCTTTTCCTCCTCCTCCTTATCCTATCAAGACAGAGCAGGGGTTTCCATTAGGTGAGCAATGCCCTGAGCAAAGCTGGCAGTACTCTCCTGCCATGACAGGAAGCACGTTTGTCTCTGGAAATACTTGTTATATTAGACTGTGGTTCATGCAAGTTATACACATTCCCAGGTGACACAGTGGTACGGTAAGGGATGGTTTCTTTGAGTTATACACACTGCTGAGGATACAGTCATGCAGCAAAGTATGGTTTATACAGTCATAGTTCCACGAGACACATGAGATATTTATGCATGTGACCAGTATCAGAGGGGTAGCCGTGTTAGTCTGGATCTGTAAAAAGCGACAAAGAGTCCTGTGGCACCTTATAGACTAACAAACGTATTGGAGCATAAGCTTTCGTGGGTAAATACCCACTTCATCAGACACACGCATCTGACGAAGTGGGTATTCACCCACAAAAGCTTATGCTCCAATACGTCTGTTCATCTATAAGGTGCCATAGGACTCTTTGTCGCTTAAGTATTTGCATCCAAAAGCTCACACTAAAAAATCATACAGGTTCTTTAGTCAATAAAGTCTCAGAGCCGGTGGGACATTTCTGACCATATAATTTTGCAGAGCGGGTGCTATTTTATGCTTCACAACTAATTGCTCTTGGATTTTTCCACTGTAACTGCGTGGCTGTTCCATTTAAAGGAACACTGCTATGTTCACTCCATCCAGAAGTCCCTCACACATTGCCACTAACAGAACCCACCCCTGGCCTAAAGGACTCCACTTTCTTTTGGTTTAAGATCATGCTGACTGTGGAGAAGCTCAGGACTGATTGACTATGGCAGTGCTCATTAGAACCAATGACTTGCTTGTTTATTTCCTATAATCTGAGAAGGGCACTCGCATACCATGGGGATGGGCATGGTATGAACAGATTAGATAAAGGGAGAGAATGTATTGATGTCATCCCTACACTATCACACTGTGTCCTTCATACTAAGATGTTGTTCCTCTCAACACACAGTATTTTCTTTTGTGAATATTATAAAAAACACATGTACTATTTCCAAATCCCATTGCCACGTTCCTTCAGCCCCAGGGAGACGAGCAGAAGGTGTCCTGAAAAGTTGTATTCTTGAATTTGATTTTTAAAAAGCAGTTTCATCCTGGGCAGGCTAGTGGCCTTCAGTGCACGTGGGCCTTGAACATGGGTCCCGTCCATCCGTTCTCCCAGCAATCAAAACTTGGCAGGCGCAGTAACAAATCGATGACCACTTAGGATGTCGGTGGTGCCACTATGCTGCAAATCATGGTCAGAGGGAATTACACAGTAACAGCAGTGCTTGAATTCAGATCCTCCTGCTCCAAAAAGCACAGGTCCCCTCCCCATCACTTGAGCTAAAGGAGAATGTCTACTAGCCCTATAGGACTGAGGCAGTGAAGCACCTCTGATTCTCTCCAGCAGGGGGCAAAGGCACACAGACACATAGGCCCAGTTCATTACAACATCACTCCCCTCTATCAAGAAGTCCGAGTAGAAACATAGGAAACTTACAAAATCATCCAAATCCTCATCAGCTAACTCCTCTTCTTCCTCCTCCGGAAGCAACAGAAGGGGCTTGTCAGTCCCCAGCAGCATGAACTCCCACCGCACTGGGTCCCCGAGGTCAAAGGTGAGATCCTAAGCAGGACAGAACAACCAGGGTTGGCCATAAAGGTGTCTTCAGCTTGCGATGCTAATACCAAGAGACATATGACCTGCCACGGAGCACTCAACTGCATGCGACTCCCGCTCAGCAGCAGACGTTCAGAACCTGTCGGTACCATGTGGAGTTCTAAGGATTTTAGTGGGGCATTACATCTATCCTTAGTGAGGGACTTATTGAATTCCGGGAGGTGAGCGGGCACAAGCCCGCTCCTGTGTAAAGACCCCTCCCCCAACCTTTGGGGAGGAGCCACTGGACCCGGGACTCAAGTGAAGACGGGGGACAACTAAGGAATAACAGGTTCGGGAGTAGGGGTCATAGGTTCAGAACTAAGGATCCAGAGGGGGACACCGAGCACAGAACCCCGGACAGTGCCCACTGCTCCTCAGAGCTGTCTAGTGGAACTCTGCCCGGATGCGTGCGACCAGGGAGGAATGGAAAAAGGCCCCACAGTTGCGGAGCACTTCCCCGTCCAACATCCTCCTCTTGGTATTGTCCATGGCCACTTTGGCAGCTTGTCAGACGCCCAAGGGCTGCACCTCTTCACTAACGGCCCTGGACGCAGTTCAACACTGCACCAGTGAGCGGAAGCAGCTTGGGGAGCCTGGTGTCAACTGGAGTATTCCCGAGGGCTGCTCTAACTTGTGCACTGACTGGCGTGGCCCCACGGCTTTGCTGCAGCTGGGGAATAGCGAGGGTGTAGAAACACCTTCGCCACGTCTCCTCCCATCCCGGTCTATCCTGACGTGCCTCTGGAACTCCCCCTGTATGGGGCCCTTGTTGAGGGAGGGGGCACGCAGCCAGCTTTGCCGGCTGGGGATATTCCCCGGGGATGGGCTGCAATGGTAGCTTTGCAGGCACATCCCACCGGCTACAGCAACGTAAAGTGGTCAAAGAGCATTGGTGAATTGGGCCCAGGCCTACACCCTGGCTCAGACGCTGGCGTGGGGGGCAGCTGCTCTGACTTCTGGACCTAAAGCCAGTGTAAGCAGAGCTAAGGGGGAGGGATGGCAAGTGAAAGGTGAGCAGCCACATGGGTCTCCATTTGCCCCATGCCATCGAATCCAACTGCTCACTCTCCTGCAGGGCAGGAACATTTAGAACGGGAGCGTTACCTTGCAGCCATTCCAGCAATCCTGCATGTTGACCCAGTAGTTCTGGTGGTTCCAGATGCTTTCAATGCCGAGGAAATGGTCGTCGGTGGTGCTGTAGCTGTGTGCTGTGAAGGGATCAATGAAGAAGCTCTCCGGCACCTCCCGCTTCCCCGACAACACCAGAACCCAGGCGTGGACACGTAACCCGTACAAAGGGTCCGGCTTTGGCTTTTCCGCTTCCTGCAGGACAGAGTAATGGTCTGAAGTTATAATCCAACACAACAACAATTGTGCTTGGCCCGTCTCTGGTACCGTTCTGCCACGGCTCTCCAGGCGCCACACTGATTAATGGAACCTCACGGCCCCCGCTGTGAAGTAGGTAAGTAGCATTAGCCCCGTTCTATAGTAGGGAAATTGAGGCACCGAGCGGGGAAATGGTGTGTCCCCAAGGTCACTCAGTGGGTCGTGGGAACAACCAGCAATGGAACCCGGAGTTCTGGCCACATCCCCTCTTTATATCAGCTGGAATTCTTTCCAGTTAATCAGCTTGCTAAATGCCAGGTCACTATTTACTGTTATGGGTACCAAAGAAAACCAAAGCTGGCCAGTAACTAGTTCATTCGTTGAAGCAGCTTGTCTGTTTATACAGCGTACGTCTGTGTGGACAATCTGCTCTCTGCTGAGCTGTGGCCCCCTCGTCTCTACAGCAGTCAGAATGCACTAGGTCAGTCATGGTGCTAGTGTCAGTGAGGTGGCACTGAGCCAGGGACAGAGCATGAGGCTGGGAATCAGGGACTCCTCGAACCCAGATCCTCAAGGGATGAAAATCAGCAAAGCGCCACGGAGGTCAACGGAGCGATGCTACTTTACACCAGCTGAGGATCCAGCCCTTGACGTTTGTTCCCCGTTCCGCCACTCTGCGTGTGCCCCTTTGCAAGCTGCTTAGGGGCAAATTTTCAAAAGCGGCCACCATTTTTGCCTGCCTCCATTTTGGGTTGTCCAACTTGAGATGTTTAGGGCCTGATTTTCAGTGGCTCTGAGCCTCCACTATTACTTCCAGTAGATGTCAATGGAAACTGCAGGTGTTCATCATCTCAAAAAATCAGTGGATACTTTTTGAAAATCTAGGGCCCAATGGCACTGTGCCTCAGTTTCCCCATTCACACAACTGGGCTAATATTACTCATCTGTCTTGGAGGGGGTTGTGAAGCTTAACTTAACATCTGAAAATCTTGGCGGTGTAAGGGATTGTATATTGACACATATTTCAGGGCTACCTCATGCTGCCTTTTCCCAGGCTAAATACTCGCTGAAACACACAGTGACTTACCGGCCCACTGAAGTCAGTGGGGGCTGAGGGTTTCTCACAGCTCAATGATGGATGATTTAGTTGGGGTTTGGTCCTGCTTTGAGCAGGGGGTGGGACTAGATGACCTCCTGAGGTCCCTTCCAACCCTGATCTTCTATGATTCTATGATGGGAGGTGGCTAGCAACTTGATGAGTCGGTCACTAGCTGTGTCAGGGATCTTGCTGCTGAGACTTCGGAGTAAGATGGAGACACATGAACATTTACTCACCATGACCTTCTCCTCTTCCTCTTTCTGCTTCTTCTTCTGTGCGGCTTCAATATCGGCTTCCTTCTTGGCCACCTGCTGGAGCTCAAACTTGCTGCGCAGGTCCCGTGGGGGCTTGACTGCGTACTTCTTGATCTTCTCCTTCATGGGCTCTTTCAGGACCTGCAACCACAAGAGCAGAGGGCTACAGAGCCTTATTTGGGGGAGGGATAGCTCAGTGGTTTGAGCATTTACCTGCTAAATTCAGGGTTGTGAGTTTAATCCTTGAGGGGGCCACTTAGGGATCTGGAGCAAAATCAGTATTTGGTCCCGCTAGTGAAGGCAGGGGGCTGGACTCGATGACCTTTCAGGGTCCCTTCCAGTTCTATGAGATAGATATATCTCCAATATATATTATTTAACCCAATAGGGATGTAAAGGAGCCCACAGGACAGGCAGATCACAGGCACCCCGTGGTGCTCAGCTCCCTTAACAGTCTGTGGGTTAGTACTTCATGGATCTGGGGTTCAGTAAACTCTGAGAGCCCAACCAGGCCTCTTCAGTGGAAGAGTGACATGGAAAAGAACTCAGCAGATCACCCAGGCGTAGAGAAGACCAGTTGCATGGACACTGCCCTTGGTTCAGACCTTTTACACTGGAGCCCCCAGTCGGAACCAGAGCGTGTTAAACAGAAGGCAGTCACAGACCTATGGGACGCCAGTCACGTTCAGCATGCCTGGCCCTTCTCACCGCATTGTGGCTGACTCGCCAGAACCAGTGAGCTGGGCTCCTCACCTCCTTTGATTTCTCCAGCAGTGGGCACACCTCCCTGGTCTCGTCCATCATGCAGATCTCCCGGGTGGCGTAACCGTTCACACAGTAGGCATCGTAGCCCGCACCGATCAGCAGGGAGCACAGGAGCATGCTGAAGCCAAAGCAATTCCCCCTTTGGTACTTCAGGATTGTGGTCGGGGAGGGGAGGTAACTGGGCTTTAAAGAGCAAACACGTTTCCTTGCTTAAAGTCTTATTCCCGTCTTCTTGGTCTCTTTACCTCCACCCTCGAATCCCCTCCTTCTCCAGAAACATACCACAGGCTCTCAGACGCAGTGAGATTCTCTGGGCCAGGCGCTGCAGAACTACAATGGGACTCGCATGTAGGAGAGAACGGAGCCCTCTGGTTCCCACACGTTCCCTGTGAGCTTATTCCCTGTATCTATGGTCCCTGCATGTGAAATAACTCTGCCCGAATTCACTGTTTCCCCAGAGTTCTCTCCTTTGTAGATTCCTTTGCTAGGAAGCCATGTGGGCTAATGGATGGAGCAGAAGGCTGGCAGCCTGGAAACTTGCTGTGCAACCGTGGCAAGTCGTTTCACCCCTCTGTGCCTCGGTTTCCCCATACATTAAATGGAGATAATGATACTTTCTATGAGATCTGTCAGTACAACGAGCTAGAGAAGTGTCAGGATTTGATTGCTGAATCCCACACCAATTTGAACAACTTATGGCCGCTCTTCAGCAAGTCTAAATCAGCGTGGCTCGATTGCAATCAGTGGGGCTGCGCTGATCCTCCCCAGCTAAGGATCTGATCCTTCATCTCTAACCGTGTTCCCAGTCCCTCTGGAAGCCTCTGTCAGGGCGCCTCAAAGTCTCCTGTGGAGCTGAGACAACATCCCATCAAGGTGCCTCATAACAGGTCACCGAGACCTACCAGCTTCTGTCCCTGTACATGCTCCTCCTCTCCAAAGCAAGCAGCCTCCCGGTCCTTGGAAGGGAAGCCTGATGCTTTAGCATGCAATGAGCCACCAGCTGATCTCCGTTGTACACGCCCACTTCAATGGAGCTACTCTGGTTTTACATGGTTGTGGGTGAGACCAGGATCAGGCCCAGTAGGCTAGCTGGAGGCTTGGGAAGGCTGACAGGTTTGGGAGGCCCAGAGTCTCCACTCAGCAGCTGGGAAATGATCATGCCTGTAACATGGTCGTGTGCCCAAATAATGCACATGCACAGGGCTCACTGAAGTCAATGGGAGTTTTGCCTGAGTAAGGAGGAAGAAAGGGTTCTTAACAGGCCCTCTTGGGGAGGGGGCTCCTGGAGGGGTCAAAGGACGAGACTCATCACAGCCCCATAACCCGGGTTGTGCCAGTGTGATACCCTGATGAGAAACCCGTTACTGTTAATGATGTGGGACTCCCAATGCGCCAAGGGGGGCAACTGGAAGACTCAAAGGAAGTGCCCATTTCTTACCGGCGTGATGGGGGACGAGAGGGGCTCCATGGTGAGATAGTCAGAGACGAACTGGGCACAGCCGTCCCAATTATACAGCTCCGGGTATGGCTGCAGGGTCGGGCGCACTGTGGTGCTCACAAATTTCTGCAGCAAGAGGATGTTGGTTAGTGGCTACGCGGTGGGGAATCCATCGGAAAGCGGCACGCAGAGCAGGTGACAGGGAGGGACTCCGGGGCCAGCTGGCCAGAGCTAATGTCCAACTCCTCTCAACAATGTAGCAAGCATTTGATCAACCTTCTTGCTCTACAATTGACTTTTTCTGAGATGGGAAATACAGTGGGCAGAGAGGCCGTCTCACCACAGCTTCTGAAATACATCTCTGTCTGTCCTCTGCCTTTGCCACTTCCTGGCTGGACTACAGCAATGGGATATACCTGGACATGAAGCCGTCAGCACTTGGGTAACTGCAGCTAGGATCGAGTGCTGCAGCGTCCGACTGCCAGCTCCCAGGGCAGTCAATGGGAGTTGAGTTCAAGATGCCCATTGTTGGATTGGGCCCTTCCCCGCTATCTTCTAATCTTAGGGAAGCCTCACACCTATTGTTACACATCCGGCAGCCACGGTTCATAGAAACCTTGTATGTTTCCAGCTTCCACATGTTGTGCTTGGCATGTTGTCAGTAAAAATTTTGAATGCTGGATCTGCCCATTCTTAACTTGGGGGAGACAGGCCCAGAACTGGACGCGAGCTCTGCAGCTCAGGCCTGTCTCTATAACCAGCCCAAACAGGACTCCATATTTGAACACCCAACATCTGGAGAGGTTCAGACTAAGATCCAAATCTGGATCTAAACTTCGTGCCTCAGACCGAGCTCGAGGGCTGAGCATATTGTGGGTCTTCAGAGTTGATCTCTTAGACTCAGGTATTTCTTTTAGTTTGATTCACTTCTTTTTTCTGTTCCCCAAATGTACTGTACGCTGAGTGTACAGTCAGTGCGATAGGTGTACAGTTGGTGTGTATAACTGCTGTGTCAAGTGTGAAGTTGGTTTAGTGGAACTACACCTGCTAGGATGGGTGTTTAACTGGGGTGCTCGGTGCATACCTGGGCACTGACTGTACAACTGGTGGGTTTTCAGCACGGGTTGTGTCTATTGCAAGGGAGCAAATGGGACTGGCCCTTGGACAATTCTACCGCTAAAATATGTTTGCAGTAAAAAACACAGGCAAGTGAATAAAAAGATAATCAGCAGAGAAAGAAAGAAAGAAAGAAAGAAAGAAAGAAAGAAAGAAAGAAAGAAATGACTGTGTAGAATTGTACATAGTCCATATCATATGCTATCAAAGGAAAGCAAACCCAGGTTGTCCCCAACACCCCTGTCTCCAGATGTTCCTTTACCTCCACTCCACACTCATTTAAGGGGTGGAGGAAGAGTGGCTGGCGATCCGGGCAGAGATGCGCATACTGTCGATGGAAATTGTCACCTAGTTGCAGCAGCATCTGCTCCTTGGCAGAATTCGTCTTGTAGGAGGCTGGTAACTGGGAGGTGTCGATGGAACTCCAGTCAAATTCACTTCATGCGGCGGGAGGAGGCAAAACAGAGACGGATAATGACCATAGTGAGATTCAGATGGGTTAATCCTATCTGAAGAACCACTAGGGTCTCTCTTCTATTATTTCCCAGCAGTTGGTGCAAATTAAATAACTTTGGGGTCATATTGAAAAGTGCCCAATTCAAAACAGGAGGGCAGGAAACCCGACTAAGCTGCTCCCAGTGATGGCAAGTGAGCTGCACAGCCCAGTGGGCCTGTAAGTATCTTCCTATGATCTCTGTATACCTGATCCAATGGGGAACACACGAAAAATGCAATGTAGAGAGCCAGTTAGAGCGCGGCTTGTGCCATGAAGCATGAGGGCTTAACTCCCTTCCAAAACACCTGGTCTTTTTAGTCCTTACTCTGGTAACTCTGGAGATTCCCATTATCCAGCTAAATGGATTTTTTAAAAATCTTGCTAAGCAATTGGCCTTGGTGCTATCTTGTGGCACGGAGTTCCATAATCTAGCTGTGCATTGGTGAGAGTGGATTTCATCTTCGCTGTTTCAGAAATGCAGTCTGTCATGTATTCTTGTCTGTCTCTCTCTCTCACACACACACACACAGATTCCTACTTACGGTACAACATTTGGGATATGGACTTGGATCTCTGACAGCTTCTCTTCCAGGTCTTGGAGTTCATTACTAATCACAAAGACTTTCTTTTCTTCCTCCTCCTCTTCCCCATGCTCTCGCAGGACTTCCATCCTGCTCCCTCATGGACTGCTGGGAGAGAAGCACTCACATGGGTTATTTTAAAAGGGGAAGAAAG